AAAAAAAAAAAAAAAAAAAAAAAGAAGGCCACCATTTGCAACCCTAATGAAGGAATGGGCTTAAGTATTGGTGGTCAATTTCTGCTAACATTATAACAGACAGCCAGGCATGGTATGCGTTCTGATGGAAGAAAAATCACCACCTGTGACAGTCTTGGTGAAAAAAATCAAACCTGATTCTGATCAAACGCTCAGCTCCAAGAACCAATTATAGGAAAGGTGGCAGAGAGAAGAATGTGAATCATGGGCTTCTGAGGCTCCAGCATGTGCACAAATTATGGGGAGTTTGTGAAGATGAAGTTCTGGTCCAGCAGGTCTGGGGTGGGCCTGGAATCCTCCTCATTTCCAACAAGCTCCCAGGTGAGGCAGCTACTGCTGACCTATAGACGTGCTCCCCGTGAGAAGTGAGGTCTAGACAACACCACGGAGATGCAGACAGCAAAATCCATGCCGTGGTGAACGCCACAGGACAAACAACATGAGTTTCTTTGACAAAGACATTGCCAACTTGTTTTAAGAGACGTCTTAAGAGACCTATCAGCTGGTCACAACTGGTGATCCTTGTTTGGATCTTGATTTCAACAAACTAAAAAAAATGGTGACCCTTGTGAGATAATTGGAAATTTGAACTCTGACAAGAGTAGTTTTCTAGGGCTGTCTTAACGTTTTTTTTAATTTTTTTTTTAATTTTTAAAAATTTTTTTATTTTTGAGACAGAGAGAGACAGAGCATGAACAGGGGAGGGGCAGAGAGAGAGGGAGACACAGAATCGGAAACAGGCTCCAGGCTCTGAGCTGTCAGCACAGAGCCCGACGCAGGGCTCAAACTCATGGACCGCGAGATCATGACCTGAGCCGAAGTCGGACGCCTAACCGACCAAGCCACCCAGGCGCCCCTTCTAGGGCTGTCTTAATAAAGTATGGCAAACTGGGTGGCATAATAATCAGAAATTCATTGTCTCGCACTTCCGGAGGCCAGAAGTCCAAGATGAAGGTGTCGACAGGGCCATGCTCCTCCTGAAGGCAATGGGGCAGGGTCCTTCCTTGCCTCGTCCAGCTCCCATAGCCCCTGACACTCCTTGGCTCATGACTACATATCTCCAGTTTTCACCTGGCGTTCTCTCTGTATCTCTTCCCATAATGTTTTCCCCAGGCCGGTCTGTCTCTTGGACAGATTTCCCTCTTCGCATAAGGACACCAGTCCGATTGGATCAGGACCCACCTTAATGACCTCATTTTAACTTGATCACCTCTATAAGGACCCTGTCTCCAAATAAGGTCACATTCTGATCTTTTGTTTTGATAAAGAAAAAAAAAAGATATTTGGTAATATTAAGGAATAATGTTCATCTTTTAAAGGTATGATAATGGTATTATGGTTATATTCTAAAAGTTCCTTTTCCTCCAGAGAAAGATACTGAAATATGTATAAGTGAAATGCTATGATGTGTATTTGCTGCACAGTAATATGGAAAGGTGATAAGTCAGTCAGCAAGTGGCAAGAACATCAGCCCTGGGTTGATACTTGTTGGACATGGGTTGATGGGTATGCAAGGGGTCATTGGAGCACTCTGTTTACTATGTAAAAGCTTGAAGTTTTTGATAACAAAGGTAACAAGACAAAAAGATGAACAACACATACCAAAAACATAACACTTCTCGCAGAGCTGACTTGGCCCCTTCCCTGCCCCCTGTGGAGGGCCCCCCTAAGGCTCACCTTCTCCCACCACAGGCCTCCCCTCACACAGGCAATCTGGCTGGCCTTTCCTCATAAATCCCACGGGAATCTCTGGGGCCCACACATCCTGGCAGGCTGCACACAGCTTCCCCACCTCAGACGTCCTCCATTCCTCTTCCACTGGCAACCGCCTCGGCCAGCTTCCCTGCAAAGGTGAAGGCCTGGTTGCCATCTTTGCCCTCATGGGGGCAGCCACCGCTCAGGGAAGAGATGGCCCAGCTCCAGTGCAGCTGTGGGCCAGGAGCTCAGGTCCCGGAGGGCACTGCTGGGCCCTATCCTCTATGTCCAGGGCAGCCCTGGTGGCTTTTGAAGGAGCAGTGGTTTGGGGAAAGGCCTTCCTCCAAAAAGGAGACTTCAGCATGACTCGCGTTCATTTACTTCTCTCAGAGCAATTCGAGGGGCTCCAGACCAGGCCCCAGGGGCACGGCATTAAGGCCCAAGGGTCCCCTGATAGGGATGGCCTGTTCAGCAGGGAGAAGAGACCTACAAGGAAGAGAGTGTCCCCCTTAGGCCCCTATGATCTCTGTCCAGGGCCTCTCCCTCCAGAAGTGAGAGAACCTTCCAGAATATTAAACAATGAAAACAAGACAGAATAGCATCGTGGCCGACTGAGGGATCTTAGAAGTGTTTCCACTGCACAGATTAATACCTTTAAGAAAAAAGCCTTTCGTAGGTGTAACCTTACTTGGCGACAATATCAAAAAGTCTAAATTTAAGGTTCTTCATGAAAGCAAAGCTTAGATAAAATGGTCCCTGACCTCTTCTGGGTTGCCTCACAGACCCCTTTTGGCTGGTTTCTCACCAGAGTGTTCTTCAGAGGCTCACAGGGGGAAGTCCCACAGGCCTCCCTCCCAGGGCCTCCTCCACGCCTATGATCCCACAGGGAAGCAGGAGGATGGTTTCTTAGATCCTCCTGAGGACGAGGTTCTAGGCCTTCCAGGCCGGGCGCCATTGCTAGAGGACCATGGCCAAGCTTCCTTTGTGCAAAGCCACGGGGCCGCCAGCTAGATGTCAGCCACAGACGTTCTCTGGCTTGTCCTGCACGGTAAATTCTTTCCACATCTGTTTGTTGACACCTACTGCCTTCCAGAAATAGTTCTTTTTTTTTTTTTTTTTTTTTTTTTTTTTTGAATAGGCCTCATGCCCAGCACGGACCCCAATGTGGGGCTTGAACTCGTGACCCCGAGACTGCCAGAGATAGTTGGTTCCAAGTTCCTGGGGCACAACAGTGAACACAAGAGACAACCATCCCCACCTTCTAGAAGGACAGCAGGTAAGAAGCAATAAGCGCAGCAAATAAGAACATTGCAGAAAGCGTGAGGAACGTGTTGTGTGAAAACATTGAAAAGGGGAGCAGAATGGGCAGGGAGCTGTGACCAACTTGCAGATTTCACCTAAAGAAACCCCGAAGTTCAGGACTGTCCTAAAGAACAAGACTCTCTGGCAGTCCCTGGGTTCGGATCCCGACTGGTCAGAATCGGCAGGGGCCACGCCTGTGGTGCCCTTCATTAGCCATGGTCCCCAGTGCTCCTTAGTGCCTCATACAGGCCACCTCACTCATTTATGCCTCCTGCCTACTCCTGTGGGCATCGACCCGGAATAAGGAATACATGGGCTTGTCCTTCAGCATTTTCAAGGTTTTTAAAAACAATTTTCTTTAAACGTTTATTCATTATTGAGAGACAGAACATGAGCAGGGGAGGGGCAGAGAGAGGAGGAGACCCAGAATCCGAACCAGGCTCCAGGCTCCGGGCTGTCAGCACAGAGCCCGATGCAGGGCTCGGACTCACAAACTGAGAGATCATGACCTGAGCCGAAGTCGGATGCTTAACCGACTGAGCCACCCAGGCACCCCTAGCATTTTCAAGTTTAAGAGCAGGGCCGCTCAGACTTGAACGTCTTGCAATCACCTGGGGATCTTGTTAAAATATAGGTTCTGTTCAGTAGATGGTGGGGGATCCTGAGATCGTCCGCCTCTAATAGGCTTGTGGGTAATGCTAATGCCGCTCTGCCCACAGACCACACTTTGAGAAGCAAAGTGTGATTCTACCCACTAATTTGAATATACCCACAGATAGGTACTGAGGACAAACACGCACGAACGGTCCAGGCTGGTCTTCATTTTGCGAGTGTTGACTTGCTAACCGCATGCTGCACACAGAGGAATGACACTGGCCAGTGCCACTCTGAGCACACCCTGTTCTCCGGCCAGGGCTTTCCACGCCGTCCACACATTGGACTCACCTTGGAGAGTTTCCTAAGGTATCCCACCCTGGAGGAACTCGACCGCAATGGCTTTAAAACTCCCCAGGTGAGTGCCGGGTGTGATCGGGTAGTCAGGGAGATCTCTGCCGTGCATGAGGCGAGGCATCAGAAAACACCCTGGAACAGGTTGAAAGGGCAAGTTGCCTGTGGATGGTGTCGAATGATAAAATGGCATGGCTACAGTTGGATGCAAAGGTCCAAGATCAGGGGAGGTTGAAGCAAGGGTGCAGCATTTGAATGAAAAGATTCAAGACAGACCCCACCCAGGAGCCTCTGCAGGCACACTTGGCTTTGGCAGTGACTTTGGCATCTGAAGTGGCCCAGGTGGGAGGACCGTAGGGGTGCACTACAACCTGCAAGGTGGGCACTTTGAGGCAGAAGGGACTGGGGGCGTGGATGGGGGCAGGTCAGGAGGGAGGCTCGTTTCCTTTGTGTGTTTTAAACGGGATCCGATTTGCGGTTTAGAAAAACTGCAGTCATGTGGAGGGGAGAGGGTGGTGTCAGAAAAACCAAATTAGGCTGTTGGCTTGTTGAGAAATGACAAGAGCATGTCCTGGAGGAGGGGCTGGAGGGGATGCTAGGGTGGGGAGACCCCCAAGAAGACACCTGGGATGTCCTCAGAGTTCCCCAATGCTCTACAGACAACGTTTCCAGCCTCAGACCTGCAGATTGCACCTGACCATAATGTGGTCGTGGGCCAACCAGGGAGGAGGCTGGCAAGGAAGTTCCGCCATCTTTCACTGAGATGATTGTCCCTCTGAACCTTATTTCTTCAAGGCTTGGAGTCTTTAATCTTATAGCCACCCCCCCCTTGGAGGGAGGGTATTTGTAAGTTGCTCTCAATGCTTACTAAAAGGAAGGTGAGAAGATCAGGGGCCAGGTTACTGCCACTTTTTGGTCGCTGGCTGGCATTGTGGAAGAATGCCCAAGAGAATAAGACTGGTGACACTTTGCCCAGAGATCTGCTTTGGTATGTGAATCTATCTGTTCGTTCAGATTAGACATCTACAGGTTTTGACTTCTCCTGCTCAATCCAACTGGTTTACTTCCTGTTTCAGGAACCATGTTCTTTTACCCTTGGTCCCCAAGCACGGAGTGCACTCTGGCACTTATGAGGGAAAAACAAGGGCCAGGAGACAGTAAGTATAGATAGCCAGCATCAGAGCTCTTCTTAGGGAGGGACCCTCTTTATTCAGGAAAATACCTCTGTGCTGGGAGGGCAAGAGTTGTGGTTTGGAAGGAGATGAGAGAATAAATGGAGCTACACTGTTGTGTATGGGAGCTGGGGGAGAGGAGCTGGAATTTGGGAGGGCAGGGAGCTGGGAGAGAGGGGAGGGGTGGGGGGCTGGGGCCCATGGAAAAGCAAGCAATAAGAAACACTTGGTGGTGGGGTTGTTGCTGGATTCTTAATTACGCTTATTAACTGTTCTTTATATACATATATATATATATTTATTTATTTAATTTTAAAAAGAGAGCGAGAGCATGTGTGAGAGGCAGAGAAGGGAAGAGGGAGAGAAAGAATCTTAAGAATCTCTTAAGAGAGGGAGAATTTCTGGGGTGCCTGGGTGGCTTAGTCAGTTAAGTGTCCAATTTCAGCTCAGATCATGATCTCACGGTTCGTGAGTTCAAGCCTCAGGTGAGGGCTCTGTGCTGACAGCTTGGAGCCTACAGCCTGCTTCGGATTCTGTCTCCCTGTCTCTCTCTCCCCCTCTTTCTCTCTTTCTCAAAAATAAGTAAACATTAAAAAAGAGAGAGAGAGAATCTCCATGCTTTGCTCAGCACAGAGCCTGGCGTGGAGCTTGAACCCATAAACTGTGAGATCATCATCTGAGCCCAAACCAACAGTCAGTCGTTTACCGACCGAGCCACCCAGGCGCCCATCTTATTAACTATTCTTAATTAAGATGTTCCTATCTGATTGAGGTTTACATTGCTGTCGTTTAAACTGCCCAAAGCTTCAGTAAAACCCATCTTATGTGAGCGGTTTTGGAAGCATGGGGAGTAGATTAAGGAAAAGAGCACAGTTTCATTTCCAGGTCAGTGTGGAGATGAGGGAAGACCCAAGAGGCGGAGGAATGAGTGAGAACAAGAGTCAATGTGGAGTCACAGATGGTCAAGAGAGGAGGAACCCCCGGGGCACTTGTAGAAATCTTGGTGAGAACGCCACGGATGAAAGGTTGGTGATATGACCCAACCCCACTGAGCTCCCAAGGCCGATGGTGACCTCAGTGAACAACTGGGTTTTACACAGAGGACCCACCACATACACACCCCCAACCAGGATTAGATTGCTGTATGCCAGGGCACATGATTAAACTCAGCTCTAGATTGTTTCTAGGATTGTCAGGACTTTTTTTTTTTCTTGGTTTTAAGAAACAGAAAGTCAACCCCAACTGACATAAGGAGAAGAAAATGTGATTTATTGGTTCATTCATTTAGAAAGCCAGAGTAGTTTTAGTCATCGCCATCTTGGGGGCTTTACTGAGTCCAAAGGACTTCCAAGTTTCCCCAGCTTTTTTCTTCTGGTTTCTTCCCTGTTGCCTACATCCTCAGGCAGGCGGGCTGAGAATGAAATGCAGAAGTCTGAAGTGTTTGTGGGGAATTAAAAAATAATAATAATAAGGAAATATGGCTGAATAATAGCAACAGAAACTGGAGGAAGTTTCCGTGATCAGGGACAGGCATTAGCTGTGAACTTTGGCCTTTGAAGTGAAACTCCTTGTTTCAAGAGAAGAGAAAAAGGCCCAATACACTCAAAACAAGAGGAAAAGTAAATGCAGGGGAGGCTGGTTGGGCTAGAGGAGGGCTTCCTGAGATCAAATTCATTCTTGGTCTAAGCTTTGCATGGCAACCCTGCCTCTAACTTCCCAGCCTCCCTTGCAGCTCCGGTGACTACGTGACCTGTTTTGTTTGGCCAATGAGACGTCTTCCCTGAGGATTTCAAGCAAAGCTTTTACTGTCGTTGGAAAGGGCGCTGGCAGCCACTGGTGACCCATCCCCTGCTGTCCTTCCTTGAGTCATGGAGCAATGGCGGCCATCTTTTGACCCCTCTTCTTTCTTCTTTGAGTAAGGACATGCCTTGGAGCCCCCACCTGGGAAAGGTTCAGCTCTGGCTAGGCCACACGGATTAAGAATTTTTTTAAGTTACAGAAGTAATACATCTTCCATGTAAAACATAAAAATATACCCAAGCGTGTACATTAAAAAGTGAACATCCCTCAGCCCTCCTTCTTCCTTTAAATTCAGAGTCTGTGGAGGTGCCCCAGGGGGGCACCACCAAATGTGGCTCTCCACATTTTCCTGTGCTGTCTATGCTATACTGAAACCTCATCCGCTGAGTTCTGTGACCTCCATTCACGTGAGCATTCATAGGTTGACCTCACTCTTGCGAGGGGCCCCAGAGAAGTCCCTTGTTGGGCTCTGTGATAATTTTCTTCCTTTATGAATGGACATCGAGGGGGTCAGTTTTTCACTAGACTATTATTATTTGTAGCCTCATTGCCTTGCTTCCCCAGGAAAGAAGAAACCGCTGTCATTGTCCTCATCAAGTGACATTTAGCGGGCGGCCACTGTACTCGGTCGGGGGACACGGAACAGAACTGGACAGGATCCTTGCTCTGTGAGCTTTGGCTGGGTGGCTGGGGTCAATATGGCAAAAGATAGGGTCGCATGCTGAGTACCAAACGGGGGGAGGGAGCGAGAACTTGGGGTGTCCGGCCGCAGGGGTTCTCGCATGAAGAGGTCATCGTGGCTGGTTCTGGAAGTTCGGGTAGGTGGCAGGAGGGCACCCAGGCAGGGGGAGGACGTGGCTGAAGATGCAGAGGCAGGAAAAATGAGCAGACCCGGTTCTCACAGCACTCCCCAGGGTGTCCAGGAAGCGTTGTTCTTCCCAATAAAGGTAAAAGGAAGGTACCAGAATTCATTATCTGGCCTTTCTCAGGGCTCACAGGCTCATCCCTGCTTCAGTGGTGGTACTTCTCTCTCTCTCTCAATTTTTTTTTTTTTT